TAATAATAACTATTAAATCTACTTTAAAGAAAAAAAGATATTAAAATACTACCTTAGAGATAACAATTTTAAATAGTTAGGATATAATATAACTATTAAAACCCTAGTAGTAATATATACTAATAATAGTAAAATTATAAGAAAACCTAAAGAACAGCTTAATAAAATGCTATAGATCTAATAGTTTAAACCTATTAATACTTCCTCTACTATGTATAACTAAGAGCTAAAAATAATAATAACTAGAAACTTATATACGTTTAGTTAGCTAAACTTATATACTTAAAATAAATCTAAAATAAACTTTATAACCTTATATAAGAAAGGTAATTTAGAGCTATACTCTTATATATTAAATAATAGAAGAACGCTTACAGAAACCCTACTAGAATTAAATAAATTAACCACGAAATAGAGCAATAAATTAAGAGAGAATTTAATAGGAAACTAAAATATGAATATAACCTACTAATAGAATAATAACTCCTTAGTATAACTAGTAACTAAACCTTTAGAGAAAAGAAAAGTTTACCTTATATTTTAGATAAACCTAGTAATATTACTTACTAATATGCCTAAGTAGAAATTACTTATAAGCTTACCTCTAGTATAGATAACTCTAGCTTTAAAGAGAAATCTAATAAATAAACAGATAAAATTAAATAGCTTCTAAAATATTAAGAAATTAATATATTCTAAGATAAGTAATAGTACTACTTCTATAATACCTTAGTAGCTTGGTAAGATTAAGACTATTAGCATAAGTATAAGCGTATTTAGAGGCGTAGTATATATGCCTATATAGTATAGGGTTATAGATAGGCTTATGTTATAATAAAAGGTAATAATCCTAAGAATTTATAGGTATTTAATTATATAGATAATAATAAGGGAAGTGATATATTATAATAACTTTAGTTTTTGTAGTTAGTAAGTTATATCTAGTAGTAAGGATAAATAAGGGGAAAGATGACCTAAAACGTAACCTAATAAACTACTAATTACATAAACTACTTATACAACTATATATATTACATAATTAATACTTTAGTTATAAGTCATAATGAATAGAGTAATTTTATATAAGGTTTTATACTTTAAAGGCCATTTATTTATTTTACATAGAATATTAAAGTAAGTTAAACGTTATTATTATTCTTATGTTATTATTATTATTATAAAAGAATGTTATATGTTAATATCTCCTCTTAAGGTACATATAGCTAATTTAGAGTATATAGCTTACTAACTTAATATATATATACGTTATAAGTATAAAAAAACTTAAAAACTCAATAGGAAAAATAAGAAAAATATTCCTATATTATAATATATATATATAACTAATGTGGTTTATCAGTCAGCCGCGCATAGCAGTCAGCCGCGCAATTTTTCCCAGATACGCTCAGTCATTAACCACTTAAACAATCAACGCGTAATTACTCTATAACCATAATACTAATTTACTTATAAGAAGATAAAATCCTTCTTACTATCGAGGCGATCTAATCGACATATATTATAAATTAGAAGCTAAATATATAGCGTGTAGTAAAAAACTATAATATCTCTAAAAGCTCCTTATATAATAAAAGAAATACCTAACCTTAATATAAAACTACCTAACCTTGAAGATATAAACTTAATATAATTGAAGAGAAAACATTTCTCTAATATATTATTAAGCAGGATTCTAGAGGATTTTCTTTATATCTCACTAGTATAGAAGATGTAGCTAGTCTCCTATTATAAATATATAATAATAAGCTAAGTAGTTTATAGACTTATAGCCTACTCTAAAAACCAAGTTTAATTGTTTATATAATTATTAAAAAGCTTTTTAAAAAGATCTTGAGGTTGTATTAAAATAGTTTACACTATTATATAATATAATAGCTAAATATAGTATCTAAGAGGGGGATCTATATAATTTTAATAAAACTAGCTTTATAATAGGTATAATCACTATATTAATAGTGGTAATATATACTGATTAATATAGTAAAGCAAAGTCTGTCCAGCCTAATAACTATAAATAGGCTATAGTTATTAAATATATTAATTTAGGTGGGTAGTATATCCCTCTATTTATAATTATTAAGGGTGTATATCACCATATTAGTTAGACTATAGAATTAGGTTTTCTAAGCAACTAGGTGATTAAACCTACTGCTAATAGATAGATAAATAATTAGATAGGTCTTAACTAGATTAAACATTTTAATAAATATATTAAGAACTAAATAAAAGGTATCTATTAGATACTTATTATTAATAGCTATAAGAGCTATTTATCAGCTGAATAATTACTATAAGCATAACAATATTATAACTATTAGTATACCTATATATTTATTACATCTACTATAGCTATTAGATATTACCCTTTATTCGCTTTTAAAATGCGCATATAGTAATAAAATCAACCTATTCATTAGAGCCTCTATAAATCATATCACTAAGTCTAAGTTCTTTATTACCTTCCACTAGGCCTATAATAAGGTTTTTAATAAGGAAAACATTAGGTCTGCTTTCCAAAGCGCTAGAATTTCACTACAAAACCTAGACTATATTATCAAAAAGCTTAATATATATTTATAGATATCTATACCTCTTATAGCTAACCTTTCAACACTACCACCTTAGCAGTTATAAATACCCTCTAACCTATAATAAACTATCTCATAATCTAACTTTATTAAAAGTTATATCTCTACTTATTAAAAAAGCTTACTAATACTAATTATTACTATAGTTAAGTAATTATTAAAAGGTGCATAAGTAATAGCATACTTAATCACTATTTTAACTAATTAGCTTTATACCCTTAAGGATGCAAATATAGCACTTACTAAGCGCTAGAGGGCTAAAAGAACGTAGGTACAGCTTAGAGGGGCACTTAGTATAGAGGAATCTTAGGTTTTGCTTAAAGGGAAACAAAAAGGGAAACGTTTAGCACCTTAAGAGGATGAGGAGGGGGGTCTATCAAAGAGAGCCCAGCCAGCTCAGAGACGCTGTGGTGTGTGTGGTGAGACTGGTCATAATGCGAGAACCTGTTCTAAGGATGTGGAATTATCAAATGATTTGAGTAGTAATGAGGAATAGTTAATTGAATATGTTGTGGTTGTGTAATAGTAAATATTATTATATGCATAGGAAAAGGTTTGTTGCTAATTGATATTTGTTGCTGACTGATGAACTATGTTATAGCTTTTTAGTAATTAACTTAGTATTTATCTTTAGAATCCTTTTAGTTTATTTTTACTATAAATTACTTATTAAGATTAAAACTAATTACTTTAGTTTCTAAAGATTTAATTTATTATAGCTTATAACTTATAACTATAATTATAACCTTATATACTATTCTAATATATTAATCTCTAGCTTCTATTAGTAGAACTTACTATTAGATAGCTAACTATAATAATTAAAGTTTATTTCTTAAAAAAACCCTTTATATTAAACTTTAATTTAAAAGAAATTAAGCTATTTTATTTATATAGATACTATATATATATTATAGTTAGTTTATAATAGTTATTACATTCTATTAGATTCTATAATATTAAATATTATAGTTAGCTATCTAATACTAAGGTTTATTAATAGAAGCTAAGAATTAAAACATAATAATAATATACTAAGGTTATAGATTAAATTATAAGTTATAAGCCATAATAAATTAAATCTTTAGAAGTTAAAATAATTAATTTTAGTTTTAATAAGTAATTTATAATAAAAATAAATTACAAGTATCTAGAAAATTAATACTGAGTTAATTACTAAAAAGCTATAGAAGTTTAACTTAAAACTTAGCTTAAGTTATACTATATATAAGTCTTAAATAATGTCTTTTATTTACTTTTTAATAATTACTTAAGTATATAAGTAATTATAATTAGTTAGTAATACGAACTAATTATTAAGTATATTCTTTAATACTCTACTAATTATTTTTCTTTTTTTATTATTATATAACTTATACTATAGTTCTTCTATTCTAAGTAGGTTCCTATTATTCCTATAACGCTATAGTATAAATATCTTATCCTAACTACCTAACGCCTAAGTAGGTTGTTTAGCTACTATCATTATTTATACGTTGTAATATTAAATTAATTTAAATTTAAAACTATATTTACACTACTTATTTCTTAGTTATACTTAACACTTAATAATAATTTTTAAGAGGAATTACTTTACTATTTATATAAAACTTAAGGCTCCTTCAAGTGTTAAGATTTTCTAGGTTAGAATATATCTATTGCTACTAATATAGATAAGCTTATAAAATCGCTTTAGTTAGTAAGGGAGTGTAGTATAGGTAGCTATATGCTAAGGTTTAAATCTAAGCTAAACTTAGATAGGTCTGATAACTTCACAGCTCAGGTATCACGTTTAGAAAAATAGAAATAGAGTAGTAGGAATATAAGATTAGATATAGAATAAACAACTATATCATACTCCTCCAGAGCTGCCTTGCTGTGCCCTGGTTTACCGTGCTCACCCTGTTGGGCCGGGTCGCGCGACCTTAGGGCGGCGGGTGATCTGGTCGCACCTGAGCGACAAAGTGGCAAACATCTCCCCTGGTCTTCTCAGCCCAGTCGTTGCTGCACCAAATTGAGTGTTTCTTGTGTAGTAGTAGCAAAATATCCAAGATTCGAAGTCGCGGAGGAACATGTTGCAATGATGCTTGCTGCGTGTCACTGACTGAGCCAAGCACATGCAACTTCGATCCCTCGAAAGCGCCAGAACACAGCTGTGAAGTCGATTCCCTAGCTAGGTTCAAATCGCTCTTTAAAGCCTGAATGATCTGAGACACAAGGATTCCAGGCAATTGATCAATAGCTTGTTTGATCTGCGATAACGGCTCAATGACAGACAAAAGTCTGGCATTTGCAACGGTGATGCTGTTGCGGAGCTGAATAGCGCCATCGCTGTACGCGTTCTCTGATTAGGTCAAAAACCACCACCACGACATGAGAAGACTTACTAGTTCATAAGCTGAAGTCTCGCCGAAAGCTGATATCTGAAAATCTCCATATAGCCTCGAGGTCCTCGAATCTCTTCTTCTGGAGCGGGTAATGAAAGTGAGTCAAGGCAGCCTCCCAGCGCTCCCGCATGCCTTTGGGCTTGGTTCCTGGACTTCGAGAGTACTTTGTGCTCAGAGCTCCAACATCATGCAAGAAAATATTGCAAGCGTCGTAACATTCCTTCAGAGACCTGGAAAGCGCTGGGTCGACCTGATCTTGTCCCTCCAATCGAGTGTCAAGCATCTCCACGAAGGTAGCCAATCTCTGCATGCTTGCAGAGTAAAGCCATATCATCGTCCATTGACTGGAAGTCTTCACGGTAAGTCTTGAGGCCTTTGCCCAGTTGGATCACCAACGCAAACGAAGTAAGCTCAGCGAAGCCCTGTGAAGGGTCATGGCCAGGCTTCCACTGATAGTATCACGTGTTTTCCCTCCATTGGTTCTGGTGCGCAGAACAGCCCACCTGCAATAAATATTCTGTAAGCATCAAGTCTACTGGTTGCCTTGCCTACCTACCGAGTTTATGCCGTGGTCAATCGGTTCTTGGAGACTGCAAATATGCAAGTATTGCCGCGTTTGTCGAAATAGCTCGCCTTTAGCTGGCAAACCATCTGTCACTTCTCTGTGGGTTTCGTGGGAAATTGATGCACGCACTATCGCGTGGCTCCGTCAAATGATCAACATGTCTGGGATCTTGTAGGGGTTACGGGAGCTCTCGAAGAGAAAAGACTAAATAATGAGACCACCTTCTCATCAGAGGATTGGAGGTCGTCGGCTCAGCCGAAGATAAGGCAGCGTCTTATTGAAATGAGAGGCTGAGTGAGTACCGGCACGTCGGCCCTGCCAGGAAGCTAAAGCTTTGAGGCATATCTTGGTATACCTATTGCAATCCCTTTGCTGGACGGTGCCCCGGATGAATTGCTTTTACGGTTTTATTCCTTTATAAAGCGTCCTCAGTATGGTACCACTTATGGGATATCAACCTCAGATCTGAGCGTATCTACGAGGTATGCCCTTGGTGGAGCACGTCTTAGCCCTCATCCTGGATGCTCGTCGATGACATATCATCATGGCCTATTGAAGGAAGACTGATCCAAAGTCTCGATACTTCTAGTTCTGCCATTCTGTGCCCTTTGACAGAGTCTACATGCAGAGATGAACTTCGACTGGCATCTATTGTGCCTCACGCTCCTTGACTACCCATGGACGGCGTCAAGAGCCAGCAAAGCTCCCTGCTCGAGATTGTAGACCGGCTCTGTGCTCTCTCAAACCGCGCCAGTCTAGGACCCTACCACTCAATTCTGGCATGCTAGCTGTGGTCTGCGGTCCCATGTGCTTTGATAAAATTTGGTATGTTAGATGTGATATTGGAAGGCTGATGCTCAACTAGGGCAATGTTGCCTGCATTGAGTTTCTTGATGTTAGTATTAAATGCACGTGGTACTCGAAATATTTTACCGCACAATATGCGCTTTCGAAGTGCTTCATTCACGATATATCGTCCGACATCGAAGCCGTGATACAAGCCGGTGTGAAGGGAACTGCGGTCATATTCTGTCCTTCGCTAGAACGTAATTCTGGACTTGCTCGCACTTTCACAGATAGAAAGCGGAGAAAAAGCCGTCCAGTGGATGACAGCTTGGATGCCATACCCAGTCGAGAAAAGACGTCACTGCAGAACACTGCCCCAAAGGGAGGCCGCCTATGGGTGAAAAGCGGCTAGCCAGACCTCCAAAGTAGCAAGGGTCGGTTGAGCATTAGCCGCTCAGATGAGAACTACTTCTGAGACAAAAGAACTTCGTATTGAGAACCAACGCCAACGAGCTGGGCCTTGTGTGTACGGCCTGGACAGGTTCCGCTGCAAGCTCGCGGCGCAGCAGCCATTCGTGTGTCGCTATCACTCGGCGACACTACTACAAAAGGAAAACCACCTCCTGAATGTTTCGAAATCCAAACTCTAAGAACCATGGGCTTGCAAAGAAAAAGAAAAAAGGACATCGATGTCACCAACCCCCCCCCCCCCCCATATCACCGACCGAGTTGACACCCCTGGACCCCTGCGTGCCAACGATAGGCAACAAGGCTGAAATGTGTGTATCATAATGCCTAGGCCGACTATCCTCTTGGAACGAGGTCCTATCAAAATCGAATATGCGGGCAGTGTGAGACGAACAGAATTTGTGTCGTCAGTAAATGTACAGTCTTCACATCAGAACGTACACTGCAAAGTGGAAGGAAACTTTTATTGAATCGCGGGGGGCTGTTGAGATCATTCCCATTGGGACCGGCCAGCGGTCCATGGGCAACCCTCACGTTGGCCGCACCCTACCTCTTAGTAACATGATCTTCGTCAAAACATCGAAATCGTCCTTTTTCGGAAAAGCGAATCGGTCGATATTTTATCCTTCTATATAATAGGCTGATTTTGCAGGTGCAGTTACAGGGGAGGAAGCAGCTTAAACCTGACCGTTCCCCTGGCCTGCAACCACTCGAGATGGCCCCTGCTAGGCTGCAATGGCTGTGCTGCAGCAGCAGTTGTCGAGCTTTCGGCCTTCTACGGCGGCCGTACCAACGTGAGCGATTCATTTATGCATGGCGCGATTTGACCAACTGAACAGCCTGCCACAATGTCTCAATATGTATTTATTGCACCAGCTTTCGAGCCACGGAGGCCAGCCTACTACACCTATCTTGCAACCGTTATGGAAGGGCCGCTCCAGAACCTTCAAAAGCTGAATGTCATTGACTCTATAATCTTTTATGTACTGGAGTATCCAGCCTCGGTTCTTTCTGCGTTTATCCCCATATTTGATTCCAACCCGTACCTCATCATGCCGACACCTACGAATCAAACCGCCATTCCTAGCGTCACTAACCTACGCGAACAGCTTGGCTACGGCGATACAAAGAAAAAGATATTCCACGAATTGAAGACCGCCATGCTATCCTCTCGAGACGTCTTCGTGACTGATGAAGGACTCCGTGGCCAAGATCTCATTGACTGGAAATCTCGTGAGCAACAGACTGCCTTGTCGAAGATGGTTCAAACATTCCTAGACCGCGACAAGAATGCGAAAAAGTTTTGGCCAGACGATGATGCACTTTATACCACGAAGCTTAAGTTTTCAACCGATCAGGATAGGTGAGTGTAATGGACGCCCTGAGGATAAAGGACTTGTATGTTAACAGTTCTCAGAATCAAGGGAATTTTGCAACAACTCTTTTGGCGACTCAATGTTCAAGACCACCGCAATAACAAATATCGGGAGTCCTCGGGTAAAGAGAATGACATACACAAGGGATCTGAAACCGGGCTTCATCGCAATGATCCCATAGATCTGGAGAGCCTCGAGGATGAAAAACCGCCGGGTCTGAGGTAGGCGATAACTGGTCAAGTCTCGTTGTGGTATGAAGCTCACATGGGACTAGCAGATTGGCGAGAGAGCGAAGTCGCACCTTAAGAGCACATACAGTTGACCAGGTTCCAAACGAGTCAGAGCTTACCGACGATGCCTCTGTTTATTCGAGCATCTCAAGAGACCCGTACAGGGTACCACAGAGCCCTGATCTCGGTGCTCAGGCTCCGACTGTAAGTTCATGATTATAACTGGCGAATGGTGTATTCAGACCCGGGGCACCGAAAGCACAAGATGGCTGATACGTGAAACAACGCAAAGCAGTTCGCGCCATTTGCGGAGATGACACCGTCATCCAAAAGAGCACGAGAAGCTGACTCATCGTCGGCGCGCTCTGGGTCGTCTGCAAAAAGAGGTCGCAAATCCTCGACGCAGGTTGCCAGCCGCTCATCGACTAGACAGCGAAAGGCGCGAAGAGAACCGGAGTGGGCTACTCCAGAGCAATACTGGGCCGCCGGAGAGTCTCCAGACCGCCCGTCAAGCCTGGGCTCTATCGGCAACAACCTTGGAGTCCCAGATGGTACTACTGTTGCAACAGTAACGTCTCCAACTCGGCCAACTGTTGAAGATGCGCCGCAAAAGGACCCCGTCAACGATTTCATCGATGAGTGGACCATGCAACAGAACGCCGACACTGAGGCCATCCCGCCGGCCACAGATGTGCCCAAGGATCGCGCAATGACTCCCATTGCAACCGAGAGAGAAGAAGCGGCTGAGAAATCTGACGCTGCATTAGAGGTCTTGAGAGTGCATCCTTCTACTAAGACTTTCACATTCGAACCCTCTCTGTCTGAAGGAAAGGCCACCAACGCTGGCTCTCGTCCCGGCGAGAATATTGAACGAGACAACTTCGGACCAGAAGCTGGCATTGCGGAGCCTAGATTTACCTATGTGGTTGTGACACACTACCCGAAATTCAGAAGGAGGCTTTGGAAGCCGAAAGGAAGTTTCAGAGACAAGTCCCTTTCTGACATGCTGACTGAGCTCCCAGCATATGTACAGCATTCTGATGTAAGGTCACTCGTGTTACTCATGGAGACCCCACACAGAGAAGTAGAGTATTCAGTAGAAGTTGGGCAGGAAGACGAATTCGAGCAGATGAAGAAGGAATGGGAAGGGTTTATCCGAGGGGAAATTGCTCGGACAATCAACACCAGCAAAGTAAAAGTAAAAGTCAGCATCGACGTGCTGACAAAGAGGGACATTCAAGAAGAGGAGATAGAGGGTCTAGACATCGGGTTTTCTTGGTAGCAGGCACGGATACATTATCGTTCGATATTGCCCGTATGTAGAACATCATTAGAATATCAGTGACATTATCCAGGCTGAAAGGCCTACGAAAGACTTCATGGGATATGCCCACTTCAGGTCTATAGGTCTGACGTGAGAGCTATAACATAGAGTACAATATTGGCTGCATCATCCATTGTTTGCGCCATGGCTTTTGTAGGAGATCCGATAGAGTGGTTGGCTTTCGCGACGAAGTCAGGGCCCGATTTCCTTCGCCGGAAGATTGGATTGTCTATCATTCAAATGAATAAATGCCATCGCGGCTGGCTCTAGAGTATCCTCTAGTCGGGAAAGCACCGTTGGACCTTCCTACGCTGATGCATGTGAATTTCATAAATCCCCCTACATTTGAAGCTCATCATCCTGCTGAAATCGGCGCGCAGAACATTAGCACGACATATGGTAGTTCTAAGCAATCAAACTGACGCCGACGACATCTTGCTATGCCACGCGTAATGATTGAGCAGTGCTCCTGCGTTTCATTATACGATTTCTCGAGTAATCTACCAGGTCCTTCTTTACTAAATTACAGAATCAACTCTCGGAGTTCCTACTTATAAAACCTAGTAACATTGTTCATGTTGCCATAAGCAGGTACACTGTTGTTTAAACGCAAGTCATCATCCAAGTAAATAAATTCGTCATTTGAGCCTTGGCAATCAAAGTTGCTTGAGAGGCCCAGCAGTTCGCCCCCATCCGGAAAGCTGGAAAAGGTAGGCTGCTCTGGGTGAGGCTGTTGCGGGGTTAATTGTGGAAAGCTGATGGGTCGACCATCATCCCAGGATGCGGATGTCATGCTCGGGAAGACCACCTCTGATGGCAAAGATGCCTGAATATATTAGTGGGGGAACTGACAGTGTTTGAATCGTGCGGCTTGAATGCCTTTGAGAAACTAACCTCTAGGAGGGTCCTCGACGTCTCATCCTGTACCTGCGTGGGCAAGACAGGGTGTCCTATGCCAGCCTTGTTGAAACTTTAGTCCCTGATCTTGACAAAAGCGGTGATCGAACCTACCAATGAAGATGTGCCTCTAGTTTGTCTCTCATTAGACGATATCAACTGCTCTGGTGGGGAGTCTTGAGGTGTTACAACAATTGGCGATGCACCAACCCACTGTATTTCATGCATGCCGTAATCTGCTGAAATTACTGCAGGCGTATATCCCAAAGTAGGAGTCTCTGGGGCGATCGGCTGATTTGGGCCTGCAGATGCAGAAAGTCCTTCGGGCGTTTCTGGGTTATACGTGGCGTACTTGGAATTTCTGAGAAGCTCTCTGGCGCTTTTCTGGATTATGCTAGTGAGATGCTGTCGAACAAAGGCGGCTGTCTGGCTTCCGTCCACAAGTTGGCGTCGAACGAGTAAATCTACAATGTCGTTGGTGGTTTTGGTAACGAATGAGGTGTAGCCCTTATATGCTACATCATGATGCTCGATCACGGGCTCAAATTCTGATGCAATATGTTAGCTTCCATACTTGAACTGACGACAAAGCTGATTGTCTGACTGAACGTACCGGAAGATGGCACAAAATCGTCATCTGGGAAGAGTAACCGCCATAGAGGATCCCATCGTCTGACTTTTGACCCAGGCAGTCTACTCCTTAGAAGGCCCTCGGCTTGTAGATCTACCCCGTTTTCGGGATTTTGATTTCGTCGATGTTGACCGGTATTTTGGTGGCTCAGGCAGACTTCAGGAGTGTGTTCAATGGCATTTGGTCGAGGCTGGCCACAGTGAGGGCAGGAGACTCTAGTGTGTTGCAAGAGTATGTGACGTCTAGTCGCAATGGTATTGATTAGCTCTAGATCCAATGAGAAATGCCCGTTCGAACGGTAACCGGAAATACCTATGCTTCAAAATACCGACATCAGTGGGTGTGAAACTTACTTCAGCAGGGTCATGTTTGAATAAGGTACGTTGGCACAACTCTCGTTCTTGAACCTCAGGGGGTTGCGCTTTCGGAAAGGACAACTAAAAGGTCCAGCCTGTTCTTCAGCCCGTTCGACTCTAAGCCTTTTGGATCCTCCACCAGGTGTTCGCTCATTGTCTGAGCCTGCTTCGGAGCCATCCCGACCATCACCCCTGTCTCGTGGTCTGAGAGAACGTTTTTTCGAAAAGGATTTGGAGTGATGAAATTGATCCGATGTCCTGTCATCGGTCCTCTCACTCGTTCCGAAGTCACATTCTTCGACATCGAAGCAGGAGAACCCATCATCATCCCAATCAATTGTTGTGAAAGACTGGTCCTGCCGGAGAATCTCGGTACATCGACTTTTGAACGCAACAAAAGCGTCTACAACGTGCATGGGCCGAGCGAGTCTGTCGAGGCTGACCCCAAAACATCGAGATAACGCAATGCTTGCAGTTTTTTCGAGGTCAAGATCGAAATCATAGGGGTCGGAGGCCGAGCTTGAGTCTGAGTCTAGAACGTCAGCTGGTGTATCAGCCGCGGTACCAGCATGAATAAGGTCAGCGGTTTGCATTGGAGTCTGCATCCCGCTCTCTGGATATTGCCATTCTGATAATTGAATATCCATGTCGTCTGACCGTGTCAACGGTTGATCTTTGGCTGCATTGGACGCCAGCGGCTTGATTTGGCCCCCGATGCCGACGAGGTCAATTTCCATAGCCTCGTGTAGAGCTGTGGGTGAGAGGATAGGACTGTGGGCTCGCGACGCTGACGGTGTTGTGTCGAGAGTGGGAGACGAAAAAATCGTGGAATGGGACTTGGTGTCCGAATTCGACATCGTTCCAACAGAGCGAATGTCCTCCGACCGAAGATGCGGCTTTCTGTGAAATGACAGAGTGAAGTTGCTCTCAAACAGCCCCTTGGGATATATAGACTTGGGCAATGTCTCTGTTGCCTTACAATTCTTTTCTTCGTGAACTCGCACATTGCTTTCATTTGTTGCCTTGTTGCAATCCATCTTGTTCGCGATGAAGTGGTCCGTTTTGGTTCGCCTCCTTGGGTCTCAAGTCAAAAACACAGGGAAGAAGGAAGGTGGGCATCAAAAGAGATCCCCACTACGTGGACGCGATTCCCCATGAGCCATAGTAGTGGCAGGGTGTGGGAGAGAACAGCCGAGACTCGGCCACTAAAAAGGCGATTCTCATTCTCGCTTGTTTGAAACTCAGTTTCGACCGACCGAGGGCCATACAAGAGTAGACAAATCCTGCAGAAATGTGAGTGGGGCGTCAGACATGAGTCCATAATGCCCAACATGAATGGTGCCACCTGACAGGGGAAGGCGCTAATATTCTTGGCTTCCGACGACTTCAGCTCAGTCATGATGGTATGAACAGTCGTGATTGGACTGAGGGCGCCGCATTGATTGGTGTTACGCTTCCGGTAACCAGGGCCCTGGCCTTGATGCTAGGTTCTTGCCGTTGCCTCGTTGCTCCACTGGTATCTAAATACTGACCGAAGACTTTGACCATTGAAATATTCAGATACGACTTATGCTGCAAGAGTTTTCTGATGATCAACCAACGCCTTCTTGGGGACCGGGCCCTTTTTCCAGTGTCCCAATTCACTGCCTTTAATTATTGCGAAACAGGGGCAACTGCAGAAACCTTGCGAGAGGCCTGCATCCGATTGGTCTTATCAAGTCTATTCTGAATCTCGTCGCACTGAGATTGAAGTTAATGGGACTTGCGTCAACTTCCAACCTCCGAGGCTCAAATCTCAAGAAGCTCGGTCGCATTAGATCAAGATATCACAGCTCGTGAGCGGCACACTCGCAGCGGCGCGCTTGTCCATATGAGATGTTTGACAATAACACTACTTGGCTCCGGAAAATGAGGCTCAAATGCAGTGCATTTATTGCAGACATGATTTCGGCCCCTTCCCGTCTCTAGTTTATAATCGCCAATGTCTTCGATAAAGTTTTCTGGTCGATAAACACGAATTGACCATCCGTTGGTTTCAAAGGTTGCACGCTAAGGCTAGTTCCACAACTCGGGGTAGGCTTCAGCGACAAATACAACATGCCCTCGTCATCGCACCAGAATCGGTATGAAACCCCCTCACACTTGATCTGCATGCACAGTCATTGTGCTGTGTTTCGCAGAAGACATTACTCAAACTGAGTCTCCAGTATCTCACATGACGCCTCTATGATGGTCAAATACCTCAATGACCGCAACACCGTACAAGATCGACTTTTATTGAGAGGATTGGGTAAACTGGGCCCCGGAGAGGTTATATCTCAAAGCGCACGTAAGGCAGTCGAGGCAGCCGACGGTCGCGCAAGCAAAGCCGGGTTCCTTCGCACTGTCGAACCGAATACGAAGGCTTCTTAAGCAGCTCGAGGTCTTGCACATGACCGGCATGGACTCACGGTACCTCTACGTACCCTTTGTTACCATATACTAGAGGTGAGAAATACATTCATGGTTACTCATGCTAGACCAGAAGGCAAACTCGCTAATACACACAGTACAGGGAACCGTCATAGTGAGCAGGACACAGGCAAGATGGAAACACAACATGACCCTCAATATGGATACATCTCGATCAACCAGACCTTGGACAAAAACTGCTTTCCTGCTGCTTGTCAGATCGCGTCCTTTTGTATTCTGGGCTTCAAAGTCGCCAAGCACCTCTTAATGTCGTCAACAATGACAAGACGTCGACTTTGCCCCGCGGCTGCTTATAGGTGGCACCTGTTCTTGCAATACCCTCCCTCTCAACAATTGTTCATTGCCACTGCGCCTTGTTGCATATAATAACCTCGCAATTCAACCACGGATGGTATTGATAGTGGTTTCGAACTAGTCTAAAATCTAAGCCTAGGTCGTATGCGGTCACATTCAAATCTTCATAGATGTTTAACTCATGTGCCCTCTCTGAATATGAACCATACTCAGCAGGTACCTCAAGTCTTAGCCGCTAAGTTAAGTCTCAGATTTGAAATTTGGAGCTAATTCTGAATGCTGCTGTGAGCCTCTTGGAGGAGACTGCTCTACTCATCGCCTCCAGTCGACACTATACACGTCTATAAGTATGCTGTCATTCATCGAAGACAATGCAACAAGTACTGCTCTAGTGTGTGTTCAACCTCTTCATACTAACCAGAAATCCGTAGTACCAAGAGAGCAGCACCTTGTTACCATGCGGTGTGACCACCGTCAATGACAAGTTGACTCCCTGTCATGAACGTGCTAGCATTGCTCATCAGAAATAGACCAGCTCCCTTGAACTCAGTCGTTTCGGCGAGTCGACCGAACATGTTGTGGCCCTCCCACTCCTCCTTCAAACCCGGCACTTCCCTGAAGTTCTGCTCCACCATCGGCGTCAAGATGTGACCGGGGGAGATGCAATTAACTCGGATGCCTCCAGAGCCATCTTTCCTCATCGGACTCCATTCCATTGCCAGGTTCCGCGCAAGCTGTATTACTGCCGCTTTTGAAGAGTTGTATGCGGGCGAAAGCATACCGATGTTTGCGACGAGTCCTGACATGCTCGCGATTAGGCAGATGCTGCCGTGGTTCTTGTACTTGAACATGCTGCGAGCTGCAGATTGCGCAGTCATGAAGACGCCAGTGTAGTTGACCGCAAGCATCTTCTCAATCTCGGGGACAGTGTAGTCTATCGCCGGAGTGATTTGCATAATTCCAGCAGCGGCTATTACGCCATCCAGTCTCTGGTTCTTGTCGGCGATCTCGGTGATGACCTTATCGAGACCCTCGGTATCCACAACATCGGCTTGTCTGTAGTGCAGCGATCCGCCCCATTCCGGAACGACACGTTTCAATGCTTCTGTGTAGTCATCGTGGGGCCCTTCTTGCTGATCAAGACAGTAAACTGAGACATCGTCAGATTCCCATTGCTGCAAAGTCATGCTGACATCACTGGACCTACCCTTGCCGCCAGCTTCTACTAGCGCCTCTGCCAGGCTCAAGCCAAGACCCTGCGCCCCACCGGTCACGATGAACGTCCGGCCTTTCAGATCGAAGTCGGAAAAGCGGCCGCTGCCGAAGTTGGTACTCCTAGGCGGCTTGATCTCGTTTGCGGGATGGTCGGTTGGCTTGGGGTTCTTGGGCCTAGTGTGAGTCCGGGATTGCGTGCTGTGGAACGGTCGGTGCGGATGCGGAGGTTGCGGTGCGGAGAACTTCCGGATTGCTGTCGGAGCGACGAATTTCGGAGACGGCCCCGCATGGGCCGAGATGGCGGCGCCGCGAACGGCTCTTGCTATCAAGGACATGTTGCTTTGCAGTTGTATGGGAATGCACAAGAATATTTTCTCCTATACTGGTCTGCAGTGAAACGAAAAGGCTGAGAAATTGCTGCGTAGCAAGCTTTAGTTGAGAAAGGACGATGTTAAACGCAGGTAAGAAGCATTGTGAGCGTCACGAGAATGCGGCTGGGGGCATTCTAAATACTGCACCGGCCTTGAATATGCGGGGAGACTTCAGCGCCAGCCTAAACAACAAAACAGGTATCCAGTTTAAAACAATTTAGTGCCGTCTGTTTGACTTCAAACTGCCCAAAAGCGAGCCGATATTCGAATTGACGTGCTGTTGTCGTCATCCCGAATCGCCGGAACCCAACAGTTGTGCGACAGGAACAGCAGCTCCTGCCATGTTGTTGTGTGACGGGCCAGCTATTGTTGGCAAACATCCCACGCTGTGCCACGCCGCGGTCAGGTGGATGCTGTGCCAGGGGGCCGGAATAAGTAAAGGAGCAGCAGCTCCGGCCTGTTGGTTCGCTGCACGATAGGAAGGACGAGCACGGGGCCGAAGATCATCTTGCGCAAGTTGGCAGGGCGTCGGAAGTGCGGTTCAGCCACGATGGGAATCCCTGAAGATGACGCGGCTGACACCAGAGGCGAGGAAAGATGCAGATACCAAGCCACAGGTACATGCTACCCTCCGTCGATCATTGGCGTTGCCCTAAGAAAGTAACGCGAGGACAAGGAGCAGGGCAAGGTCGCATACATAACTCGTTTGGCAGGCTGACTGGAAGGAACATCGTTCAGTGATTTGCCTCTTTCGTCCATGTAGGATTTACTCATAATTAACGACTTGATGGAGAGCAAATCGGGTCCCTTTCCCAGTCAGCTCTTCCTGGTCATTAATAGGCGGCCCAACCCTCTGATTGTCTCACTTGAGCGACCGCGAGCTCCACCGTATCCCTGGTTCGCGTGTCTACTTGTTTGTATCCCTGAGCTATTACTGTTAGACTTTCGCAATCATCCGGGAGATGCACTTGTATTTACATTCTATACGAGCTCATACAATTTTGAGCTTGGAAATCTCTGAAAATTGTATGCCGGAGAGGCTTTCACGCGGAGCTAACCTCCGTATGATGTGGGTCCACTCGGCCCGTCTCCGCGGTCCCCCGCAGGCCGATGGCAAATTCGAGACCAGAAGTTGACGTCACTCTGGATCACGCTTGGTCAACACGATAAGATTGTCGATCAATTTTGGTGTCTTCACGTGAGCTTCACTGAAAAGACCCAAAGAAAGTATCGTGACCATTCGATTACCGCATCACACATACTTCCGCTGGACCCCGGACTTCCGATCACTGATCACCGCTAGACCTTCGTGTCCCGCGCTTCCTCTCGGGAGCCACCACGCGTGCCCACATCTTCAAGCTCAACTTGGAGTACCTTTTGAGTGTTCTTCTGCACCTTATCCTGCACTTCCTTGCCCTCAAACATGAAACTGAGTTCCTCGAGCGTTCGGCCGTATGTCTCGGGGAAGACGAAGTAGACGGTCGCGATCTCAACGAGGATCCAAACACAGTACACACAGTAGTACTTCCAGCCTATGCTGTCTAGGGCAATCGGATTCACGTAGGTGTTGAAAAACACAGCGAATCTGACAGTAAGTTGCTCAACGGCGATACCCTGAGACCGGACGGTGTACGGGAAAATCTCGACCATGTAGGTATATCTTCTGATGGTTAGAGAAGTCTTCGCAGTCTTTTGGGAAGGGGTTTTCATACGTGAGAGCATTCCAGCCGATGTTATAGAATCTTAGAGTAAGCGTTAGTTGGCTTGAGCGAGATGTTTAGGTATGTCAGCTTGACTCACGGCGAGTAAAGGTAGATGAAGACCAGAACAGGGATCGCGGCTGCTTTAGATCCATCGATTGCGAACCTGGCAGAGGCAATAGTCCACACGGTGTAAACGCATGCGGTGCCTGTTCGAGCCCATTAGCACGATGATCAATGTCGATGCACACCGGCCTTCGAAGAGGTTCTTTTCTTCAACATGATTCGTGACGGTCTCGTATTTATCAAGATTCAAATACACGGCGGACGCTGCGGGGACTTGGGAGATTTTCAAGCACGGCTCCTTACCGATAGTACAAATAAGGAACATCCTTCTACGGGGAAAGCGTGGCGCAATAAGAGCGATCGGTGTGGCGTTTATCAAACCTGTATAGTCAGCACTAATCCTGCTAAGGGAACAAACACAAACGCATCATCAAAGATCAAGTAATGCATGAGTTTTATGCTCTTATTGGGGAAGGGAACCATACCCCAGCAGGTGTTACTAAGGATGATCTTCTGAACGGTTCGGTTGTCAGTGATTCCGACAAGATTAAGAATCTTCTTCATGTAGAAAGACAGGAGACCTGCGTGGTCATCAGTACAGACTCCAGATGTCCGGTTATCTCGATCATACCGTTTCCACTCCACTGCGTGAAGAAGCCGACAATGCCTGCAATCATGAATCGTCTACGCATGGCAGCATCTCTAAAGACATCGCCCCAAGCGAACTTGCTGGCAACCGCCTTCTCTTGTTGAATGGTGGACTGGATTTGGGCGTATTCAAGACGCACGAACTCGTCGCCGTTTTCGCCTTCACTGTGATACTTCTGCAGGATTGCAAATGCTTCATCGCCTCGGTCTTTCGAGATGAGCCATCGGGGCGACTCGGGACAGAAGGGCATGAAGCAAATCTGGCAGGCGCTGGGCACTAGCTGAAGAAGACTGGGGATTCTCCATGCCCAAGTACTGGTCATCTGGAAAGTGCCTTTGAGGCTTCACGTCAGTACTGGGTCCCAGCTCGCTCGGGAATCTCGAGAGTGAGGCAGAAGCGCGTACCGTATGTCACGCCTGCGGCGATAATCGCTCCTGAAGAATGACTTGTCAGTACACCCGGAGTTTGCTGACTTCTAGTCTCTCTCTTTACTTACCCACGAACCAGGAAGCGTTGAATAGACTCGTCATGATGGATCGCTCCTTGGCATATGAGAGTTCTCCCAGCAGAGAAGACGCATTGATGATCGCGAAGGGGATGCCGAAACCAAGAACCCAGCGTGAGGCCAAGAACATGTCCTGGTTTCGCGAGCCGGCCTGAAGACCTGCTCCTAGAACCATGATCCATGAACCAAGAAGGATTGTGCGACGACGGCCGAGGTAGTTACTTGCAATAGGGACGAAGGGAATAGCCATGAGAGCACCAAGGGAGTACATGGCGTTGAGAAGACCGAGCCGAGAAGAGTTTGGGCGACCAAAGTCTGGATAGACATGTCAGCTGCTTTGTCACAGGGGATGGTCTTGGGACAAGACGGCGGCATACATTCGAACCATGATTCCACGGCTTGAAGACTGTTCATCATTGAAGAGTCAAATCCAGAGGTCCACTCCACGCCGAGACCGGTGGGGATGAGGATGAGGTACAAGAATCTCAGATTCGGCTTCTTGTACCATACCTTCTTGTCGTTCTGCGCGATCCGCGTCAACTGCGGATCGGCGTGTTCTTCTTTCGCGCCGACGATGACCATGATCTGTTGCCGGTAGGTTCAAAAGAGTATGAGGGGCATGGAAAGAACCGGAGGGTAGTTCGTTTGATGGGGAACATCGACGTTCAAATACCGACCGTTGTGCGGGATCTTCAACGACCCTGGTTATCCGCGCCGGATGTGAGTTCAAGGTTCCTCCAACCGAGCCAAACCCCACGAACGTGGTCAGACATCAGACCATCAAATCACGGTCAAGAACCGATATTAGAGTCATCGTTGCAGTTCGCCCAGCCTGGCGGGGGAATACTACCGTGGCGTGCGGGGTTGCAACCCACGCCGGGAGGGGGGGGCCCCAAAACCGAAATCCGGGGAAAGTAAGACCGAGGCACGGCCGAAAACCAGGGTTCATCGGCACGAGGAGCCAACTGGCCGGCGATTTAAACTGCCGGCTGCCAATAAAGGTTAGAGATGGGATGGCAGGCTAATTTGCGACCCCACGAGACTATGCTTGGCGACGTTGTGCAACAAGCAGCTTGAGCGAACTTTGTTTTCCTTACCCAACGGGTTGGTCTGAAGGTCAGCCAACATCACCTAATTATGAGATGAACTCCACTTCGAATGTGGACGGTGTCACATTGCTGCAGGAGCAAGCATCCATTAGCCGCTTGAGAGTGACATGGCGGCGAATAGTTCCTTGGAAATGCGACGAGCAGCTAGGTAGAAGGATCAACCGAGGTAGAGGCACATAAGAAGAATTAGATAGAACAAATAGTCAAGAATGATTTGGATACCATCACGGAGGGTGAGACTTCTGGAAAAGGCAAAGTAATTGAGCGCGGGGTTCTGATGAGACAATGAACAACAATAGATCGGCGATGACATGGTAACGGAGACGTGCAATAGACTCAAAGAAAAGGGAGCATTCTTAGCAAATTGAGGGAAAGCATAGCAATACAAAGTAGCTCAAGGTGGGTGCCGGCATCGAAGACCAAGGGACCTCGATGGGTTCACTGCAACCACTGGCAATCTTCTCCAGGTCACAGATGGCTGGGGACTAGCCAGATAAGGTCTATCAAATGTGGCAGAGACTGGCTTAGTTTATCACAACCGTTTGCTTGGCAATAGCCTGATGTTATCATCACTGAAGCTTGCTTTACCATCAGCTACTCGGGGAACAGCTTTTGAACCTTCAAATAATATCCAATAAAAACACTCTCGACGAGGTATGGTTAACAAACGAAACTACGCTCCTAATGGTACAATCACCGCGCCCTTGTTTGGCTTCTCGTTCTTTACACTAAGAAGCTTCAACAGAAGGTGCATCTGAGGGTTCTCCTCCCCTGTGACGGTTTCCAACCTCCTGATCTCAGCCTCGATCTCGTCTTCCAACTTATTCAAGAGCTCCCAGCAGGCATCGAAGCTTCTTGCTTCTTGCAGGTACTCGATAATCTGAACCTTTCCAACGCTGGGCATCGGACCTGAAAATCCAGTCCTCTGCCTGAAG